ATAAATTTTTTAAGTAACAAGAAGACGTAGCATTGATTGATCATTTTGTTTTATTAACTATTTTTGAATTCGATTTTCATCTTTTGTACTTAAATTGCTTTTGCTAAGAATGTGTTGAAACTGTCTTGCAGTTCTTATTATCAAAATTTCCTATCTTCTGAATCAATGTGATTATAAATTTACTGTGTTGGATATTTATGATTGTTTACTGACCTTCCAACAATTCGAATGAGTATATTTTAAATTTTTTTTTTTGCTGAGCGCTTCAGATAATAGCAGCAAAGAAGAAGGAATGGGAAGCGTTTGATAATCAGCCATCCGTGGACGATTTATCAGCTAGCGGGAAGAAGCAATTGACTTTCATGGATTTACTCTTCAGCGTTCGTAATGAATATAATTTGACTGATGAAGATATTCGCGGTCAGGTGGATATGTTTATGGTCGCTGGTATCATTTTTTGAAGCTATTCAAAATAAATTAAAGATGTTCGATCGCTTCCTTGACGAAAATTTGCGAAAAAAAGCCGTGAACTAAGCTATAAAGCTTAGTAACGTTCTTCTTTGTGCTCGCTTTTGTTACTACATATATCATTCATTATCCGATTGATTGTAAGAAAAAATGTTCTATTGATCCATCATTTATTTCAATTGTTTTAATGCTTAACTTGAATTTTCGAGCATCAGGAAGTGATTCGGTATCAGCTCAAATTGGTTTCAATCTATTTGCACTGGGGCATCGACAACATTATCAGGATAAGATTTACGAAGAAATCAGACGTGTCCTCGGTGAATTCATCTTTTTTTTTGAAAGCTGTAATTATGAGGAAATTTTTCTTTTATTGATAAAGGTAACTCAAACTTTTTTTCACAGAAGCATCAGATGAATGTCACTTACAGGTGATGCAGCACGTGATATTACGATGGACGATGTTAATGAGCTTAAATATCTTTTTCAATGCATTTGCGAAACGGGACGCATAACGCCAAATATTGTATTAATGGCAAGGAAAATCGATATTGAACTTAACCTCTGTATGTTTTAAGTCTTTTTTTTCAATTGAAATTTATGCATTCAATTGCCTGACCGAGAATTAATTTGCTTGATGTTATATCAAAAATTATTGTCTTCAGGTGGTTATACGATACCAGCTGGTATTACTTGTTGTATATCACCGTTTTCCATCATGCGGGATCCAAAAGTATTTTTTTTTCTTTCTCTCTCTCCCTCTCTCTTTCCTTTTATTAATATTGCGGAACCGTTTTTAAAGAAGACATATTGGAACGGTTCATGCAATGTGCTTAAAGAAAAAAGAACTGTAGCGACGAGACATTCCACAAGGGATAGATTGGATGAAACATTGCTTCGTGCTTCCTTCCAGACTTCTACATCACTTCCGAGACTTCTATAAGCACCGGTCTGTTGCTCTCACACCGATTTCTGATTCGCTATTTTAGCATTATGACAATCCAGAGAAATACGATCCCGAACATTTTGCCCCGGATAAGGTGAAAAATCGTGACCCGTTCGCATATGTACCATTTTCTGCAGGCATTCGAAATTGTATAGGTATAACGAGTTTAATCAAACTAAACTCAGATTCATTCATTACACTCGATTTATATCAGATAAAATGAGTAATTATATTGCACCTAAACAGTTCATTAATACTTTCTTAGCACCAAATTTTTCAAAGACAAAAAACGCTCCAATCTATTCGCCGTAAAATCTTTTTAATGCAGGTAATAGATTTGCCAATTTGGAATTGGTAGTAACTTTGGCTCACATTTTGAGACGTTATCGAGTTATTTCAATGATA